GTGTATTATACGTTTGGGTAGAATTAATGGTGTGGGGTGCGTGTTACACGCAAATGAACTGCGTATCAAATGTACGGGAAAAATTGTGTCTCATATGCACATAAAAACTCATTTTCGCATATAAATTACACGACAATACACAATGCGTGTTATAGAGACGCATTTACGTGAGAACAGGCTGGGTATGGTGTTAGGAGACATAAAAGGGACCCGATGTTCCTCACCCATCTGCAAGATGATGATGTGGATGCTAAAAAAACATTAAAAATCCAACATGGGTAGATACAGATACTGTTAGATTGAGAATTTGGTGCTGATATACCATGCATCCCAAATATTTGTCCAAACAAATGTGTTTTTTTGTGTATTTATGTATGTATAAATGTATATTTATTTGTTTGTCTGTTTACTTTTTTTATTATAGCCACAGAGAAACCATCTCACAGCAGTTCTGTCCATCCTGTGACAATCGGACAACTTTATCTCCTCCTCATCTCCTTCTTCTTGTCTTATTTCCTCTAATATTTCTTCTCAAAGCATAAAACCTACAAACAAATGCTCTGTTGCAGCATATATTCCTCCATAACAGTTTGCATTAAAGTAAATGTGTGTTCTACATCTGTGGACACTCACTCTCTCTTTCTCTCTCTCTCTCTCTCTCTCTCTCTCTTTCTCATACTCCTTCGCTCTGTCATTTTTGTCACGCTATTAGTCTCCATGCCTCTGTTTCCTCTCTCTCCGTCCTCTCACAGCGGTCCTTACTGCTGTCCGCTCTGATAAAAGTTCACTCCGGAACAGAGCGACACTAATCTACCTTCAAAGAGCTTATCTTACTGTTCATTTTCTTTTAATCCATCTGTCTTTAAGAGTCAGACATTCCTTTACAAGCCTCTGCTCCCCCTCTCCTCTGTCCTACTGTACAACAAACTGAGCCAAAGACGAGGAGGAGGATGAAGCTCCCCGGTCCTGCTGTTTGTACTACTGACTGAAAGATCAGGGACAGAGTGAACGATCACTAACAGATCTATTGATCAATAGCTGTGTTTATTTAAAAAATATATATATATTTTTGGACTAAAAGACATTGAAGCCAAAGCTAGAACACAGCATTTAAAAAATGATTTTGCTGTATTGACTTTATGCAACCTGGCAGAACTCTGGAATTGCCTGGAATATCCTGGATTTTTTTGTTTTGAATTTATGTTCGGAATCAGTTGCGATTCATTCGCACATCTGTATATGCTGACTGAGGGACACGTGGAAAACACAGGAAACTAAATTACTAGCCTGTTTATCTTTTTGTGGGATGTGTAATCACCTCCATGTATGGACTCTTCTGATTGGTCTGCATGTTTCTTAGCTCTCTGTAAGCGTGAAAGCTATTGGATGTTTCATTTGGCACTTAATCGGATCACGTTCCTTTATCCTTTCCCCCTGCTCACAGTTATTTGTGGGTATGTGAATTATGTATAATGAAAATGTTCATTTTGAACTTAATGAGGGAATATGCAAGCAGTTTTGTTTTTTCAGTTAGTCTGAAATAATGCATTGGTTGTAAAGAAAACAGTATGCTGAGTAATGTTTTGTTTTTTTATATATTTGTATCAGTTTTTTAGGGGAGAGGGTTGTTTTTTTAAGATGTTTTTATTTACTAGACTTTTCATTTGTTCAGTGAATTATTAGTTTTAGCAGGAATATAAGAAAGACTATTCTTTAGATGCTAGTATCCGGATAAAACGTTGGTATTTAAAGAGATCAAGGAAAATAGCCCAAAATAAGAAAAAAAAAATGAAAAATGATTATTTTTTTAAGTTTATTTCTTACTTTGTTTTTGTTTAAAACAAAATTGTTTAAAATGAATATTTTTTTAACTTCTAACAGTGAAGCAATCATGCCCCCCTTTTAAGTTCCAGAATCTAAATACATATTCTGTGTGAATGAGAAATGTTTTGTTTCTGTTTCTCCTGCTCTCATTTCTGTTGTTTTCTGTTCATTGTAGATTTTCAGATGCAAATACGGTTTGCCAAAACGGAACAATCAGTTTACATATTTTGTTTGTTTCTTTGTTTGACATGGTATGTAGGCATGTTGTTTCTTTGTCATTTGAATGTTTCACATTTTTGTGAAGTGGTCAGTTTCTTCTATGAAGAACTTTTGTTCTGTAGCTCAGAAAAATGAGCTACAGAAATAAATAATGCTTTTCAAACATTATAGTCTCTGTTTTTTTAGAGTGTACATTCCAGTTGTTTGAAGATGATCTGGAGCCAGTTATATGAGAACGAGTTTAGGAAACTGAGCTACAGTTTATATAAAAAAAAATATATTAATTATCATGTGCAGCAACGCATATTTACATTTTTTTTTTTTTTTAGGAATTTAAATAAACCTCATCATTTGTTAAGGAATAATGAAATTGTTATTTTTATTATTTGATGGATCAGATAAATTTCAGCGATTACCCTTATATATACCTTAAAATGAAAAATGTATCATTTTAATTATTTTACTTTACTTTAATTCAAGAAATGTTGACATTCAGTGCATGTCAGGTCTGTTTTTCTCCTCTAGATGGCATCTGTTCCTCAATGAGCGCAGAAACTCTGTTTGTGGACAGTCAGAGAAGAGAAGGTGTGTGCGTTGAGTCACCATGAATCATTCTCACAGAGCCACCGGAACCAAAAACAACACTCTGGAGACTAGAGGCATGTTTCACCCAGTCATAATATGCAATTTGGTATCTTTAAGTAAAAGGTAAATAATAATAATAATAATAATAATAAATTAATAGTGTATCTGACTTTCATCATCTTCGAAGCAAACTGTTAAACTTAAAAAAAAAAATAGAAGTATAAGGCTATATAAATTCTTCAGTGTTGCTTCATGTTATCTCTAAAGGTATGCATTTGTTTTTTTTTTGTTTTTTTTTTGTGTGTGTGTGTGTGTGTGTGTGTGTGTGTGTCAGGACCTCATTCCACCCAAACTACCTAACACTCATTTTTGGAGTTAGGTCCCCTCATCTTTATTATTATTAAACCTTTCTTTTATTAATACACTGTAAAAAATAAAAACAATAAAACAATAAACTTGGATGTTTAAATAATTGGATCTTAAATTAAATTAAACTTAGGCTACTTAAATGAGTTGAATATTGAAACTTATTTAAAAAGTTGATTTTGATGCGTTAAAGTAATGTAAAAACAAAAAAAAATTTTTACAGTGTAGTGTTGAACTGTTGTAAAAAAAAAAACAATTATATAGATCTCCATGCTTATTAATTTCATGAGCACATTCACTTTTTTCATACTTTCACACCATGACTGCTAATTGTTCAGACAAATGAGTTGTATATTAATTGTCTGTGCTGGTGCATCATTGTTTTATGTTAATAAATGATGAATAATGATAAATAATAATTAATAAAAAATTAATAAATGTAGTAACAATTTTATAAAAAGGGATCAAGTCCTCCAGAAAAATTGCATTGAGTGGCCACAGGGGGCCAGTAAAACCCTGGAAAAGGTTTTCTGCGTAATTCTCATATCAAGTACAAGAGTCAATCTGGATACATCAGCACTGAAATGTGATCTTGATAAAGGTAAAAGGTGTGACGATTTGAAATTTTGCATCATGGTTTGAATTTGTGGACACCTGCTTCTTGATAATATTCCACTCATTTCCAGTTGCACCATTGCAGTAGGCTACACGAGATCCAGGGGGCGGAGTCAGATCCAGATCTGAGGGGTGGAGTTGGGTAGGTTTAGGGATCAGGGGGTGGAGCTGGGTAGGTTTGAATTTCATTTGCATAGCCTACATTTAGAGACTATGGTGATACAAAATCTAGGCAATAATTAAGACTCTTGTTTCTCTCCCACCACAAAATTCATCGCTGACGGTGCCACCACGATACCTGCTCATAGAACTTTCATTGAGTTTTTTTTTTTAGAGTGTGTTCACCCTAAGTGGTTAAAGTGGGATTTGGCTGGTGGGGGAACCCTCAAACTTTGTTTAAGTGCAACAAGTGGAAATGACTCACTGTAGGACAACATAATGAGTATCATGGTATATAAGTACTTTTGGGGCAAGAGTGTCACTATGGCACCGAGTATCACAATACATTAGCTACTTAATATAGCCTATTAATGGTTTTATTTTGGTCCATCTTCTACGGATATGATGATGATAGGCCTACTATGTTAAAATCGCTAAACACCACAATGGCACAACCTTGTTTCTCACTATTGGCCTTTATGCCCAGCTGCACTACTTCCTGAACTTCAGCCAGCTCCTTGTTTCCTGTCTGCCATTATTGGTCAAATTGATTAATTCAGGTGTGCTTGACCTCAGTAGTCATGGCAAAAATAATCAGACACACCTGAATTAATCAATTTGGCCAATAATGGCAGACAGAAAACAAGGAGCTGGCTGAAGTTCAGGAAGTAGTGCAGCTGGGCATAAAGCCCCTACTCTATGCACCCACATGATGTACTGAAATACTAAATGATTTTTTTTTTATTTTTCATGGTTATCAGAATTTTTCGGTTTTGATAACCATCAGCAAAACTCTAAACATTTTTTGTCTAAAAATAAAATGTTTGTTTACAGAACCAATTAAGATTTAACTAAGTGAAGAGTCAAAATAAAATAGCTTAAAGGTAGACTAGTTCACATCTGATTTACCAATAGCAGCACCGTCATCATCGTCATAATCATCACCACCTGCTGCTGGTAATCAGATGTGCAACAGGCCGCGCGTCCGTAAAAGAGGTCGCTTTATTTAATTGCAAACCATCGATTCTCGCTGCCAGACCGCTGACTGATTTCCAGGTAGGGATGGAGATCAATAGTCGTTGATTAAATCTGGTCTGGATATCGTATTTATTGTAAATGTACTACGTGACTATATCGCACCCGTGAGGCCGGAAAGCGCCATTGCATTTCATTAACTTGGGCTTCTACTAGAGAAGACTGCTCCGTGCTCATCAGGCGTCAAGTAAGTCCAATCGAGTTTTTAGATGTTCATTTAAATGAAACACTACATAATTAAATTATTTTTAACTAGTTCCTCCTGTTTTCTAACGTAAAAACTAGGATGAAGTTGCTGCCAGTGATGTGCTAAGCAAATTCCAGCCCAGACGGTAACTCGTTTTTCAAAGGTAAAATACAAAACACAAATCATGATGGTGCCCACAGATAAAACCAGGAAAAAAGTAAACAAGACACTGTAAAAAAAATTAACAAGACACTTTGATACTGTTTTTATCAATCTTAAATACAGCAGTGATATCGCTTTCCTACAGCTACATCAGTGGACGGACACTCAACACGAACTACAGGTTTTTCAAGAAGTATTTATCTGAAAGAATTTCAGATTCTGTTCCTTCTTCAAAATGTCTTTAGTTGTACATTGTGTCTTAAAATATTAAGACGAGTTTGTTTAGAGAAGTCAGTCATTCCCTGGAGTTGCGTTCCTCCTCCTCATTTTCCAGCTTGTAGGCAGGGATATAGCGGGTCACACCTTTCTCATCCACCACTTTAAGAGATGGATTCCTGCATGTGTTATCCATACTGCCTAAAGAAGTGTATCTATAAGGAAGTGAAATAAGGGCATAAGCAAAATCAGGAAGATAATCGCAATTGAAAAAATGAAGACTCACTGTGAATAGAAGCATCTCACCCTTTGTCATACAGAATACAGTAGGGCACATACAGGGTTCTCAGGAACTCCCAGATGTCATGGTACGTCCATTCCTACAAAAAGAGAAGAGATGGTGGATATGACGCAAACATCTAAATGTAAAAAAAGTTACACCGATCCGGGGTCATTTGAAATTCTAAGAACATGCTGCACTGCCATGACTTTTACATAACCACCACTGATTAGGATGATGGAGTTGCTGCATAATGATCTTGGAGAGCCTCATTCATCATTATTTACTATTTCTTGGCTGTTTCTGCTGCCAGCTTACATGAGAATTAGTGGAAGACATGACAGTGATTTATTGACAGTGGAGTCGGTTTAGAGACAACAGGAAAAGAGGGAAGATGGGTTAACCTTTCAGCTTTCTTTTTGTCGGTTTGTCTCTGTGTGGTTATACATGTGTTGTGTATTATACCTTTTTTATACCACTGTTCAAAAGTTTGGTATCAGTGTGATTCTTTTTTGGAAGAAATTAAACAAACAAAAAACATTAAGCACCAAACCCATTTTCATAATGTTAATAATAAATGTTTCTTATGCTACGTTCACACCGGATGCAAATAGTGCGTCATGCACGAATGATTTCAATGCAAAGACCTTCCTGTGGCGCGAATGAGCGCAGTAGATGCGAATATGCCTCGTTCGCGTGAATGGCCCAAATTGAGCATCTGACGCGTTAAGTGCGAATGATTTAGTTAGTGCAATTTGTGCACTCACGCATTTGATGCGAATTCGCGTCTGCCGTCCAAGTTGAAAAATCTGAACTTTGGTGTCAATTCGCGCCGTGTTAACCAATCAAGAGCCTAGCTGCGTGCTCACGTGGTGAAGTATCTGGATGTATGAGTATCTGGCTTCATTCATTTCTATATACGAGACATGTTCATTTTGTATTGAATGTTATTCATTCCATATCTAAAATAGTATTATGATGTAAAGACAACCACCATACATGTGCATAAGTTCGTGTCTGGACCATAGACTGTAAAAAAAGATGGACGACGCCCATCCGCTCTTTTCCATCGGAGAGAACTGTAGCCGCCAGTGTCTCGATATGACGCTGACATCTTGGGACCTGAGTCTGCGCACTTGCGTGTTTCGGGACCAGTCATGCGCAGTCGTGAGCAGGAAGTAAAGCCGCGAAATCAAGGCCGCGCCCTCCTTCGCGCTGAATCAAACGCAAGCACACGCCCCGCACTTTCATTAAGTGTCCTCTGTCTGCTTCGTTCTTCTCGAATGTTGTCTGCTGATTGCAGAACCTCGTTAAAATAAGGTAAATACAACTACTAACCACATAATCAACATTATGAAAAAAGTCCGCTGGTGCTTCGGTGACTACCTCGCACAGAGAACCTGTCAATCACAGCTGTCAATCATGATGTCAGAGCACCGTTTTTATCATCACATAACTAAGTAAAAACAAACTTATTTTAAAAACAAACACTTGAAATTACATCAACGTGATAGAAACTACAGTAAATGACAGAAACTATCTTTGGAAAAAGGATATGTGAAGTGTAATTTAATTGTTTAGTTGGTGTCGCGTCACATTGAATAACATGGGGAGGCGGGATTTATGAGCTATACTAGGACCGGTCACAGGGGGGCGATCGAGACGTTTTGGCTTCACTTTTGAGGGCTTGTGCGGCACGCTTGGTCTGGACATAAGAGAGAAAAATTTTGTTTTGAAGGCTGGCTCTATTTATCATAAAACAAAAATAAATAACCATTGATTATTATATGCGCGTCAGTTTCACTCTTGACGTGCGAACACAAAGTGGTCAAACTAGACGCGGTAGACGCGAATTTGACATGCTATTCACGTCCGGTGTGAACGTAGCATTAAGCTCCAACCTACACTGATGTGTAGAGTAATAGCTGCTGAAAAATTAGCTTTGCCATCACAATATATTTAAAAACAGAAAACATATATTTTAAATTGTAATATAATTTCACAATAATGTTTTAACTATTTCTGATCAATTAAATGCAGCCTTAAGAAGCACAAACTTTTGAACGGTCCCCCTCACCAGCAGTGGGTTGACCCTCATGTAATCAGGCCAGCCCGGGTCTGTGGGACAAAGGGAGGTCAGCGTCTCTGAATAAGGGTCGGTCCGTCTTGTTCCCATCAGGACGGCCCGTAAATCCGGCCTCCTTTCCTGGACCTCATTCAGAGCCTGCCGAATACTGCCCTCCACTGAGATCAGCTCCAGGTCATATCTGCAGAAGAGAGAGGAAGAGATGTGCCAGATAATTACACCTATGGAGCTTTGATGGACAATGATGAATTAATAAGGCTGGATCTATGTTCAACTCATCGTGGTTAAATAACAGACTGGTTTGTTAGCGGCAGTACAGAGGCTGTTACGGTTTGCAGATGGCACTTCTCGTTCTCACTTTAATGTATCTCTCACAAGTGAATTGAACTTGAAACTGACAGGTGCCAGATCCCATTTTACATGTGGATAAACAAGCTGGTGACTTTAACATCATTAACACATATCATAAGTGCTCAAAGCCTGTTTAAAAAACATCACAATTCAGAAATGTTGTCAATAGATTCCGGGAGAGATGCCAGAGGAACCAGTCTGTGATTTACCCACTCAGGAGGAAAGAAAACTGTTCCAGATTTCTATTCTTCTTTAAAACATTGCAGTACCCATTTTATTTTAGAAAGGCACCTTGTCTTACCTTTTAATTGTATCTTGCAAAAACCTCTCCATTTCTGGAAAAGGGGAGACAATTCGAATATACAGAGCTTTTAATCTGTCTTTACGATCTGGATACCGCCTGAGAGAGAAAGAAAGAAAAGTTAAATCATATTATCTGAATTCTTCAAACTAATTTACTGACACTTGCATGTGATATAGTAAAGCTCATGTAACCAAGGCATGAGCACAGCCTGCTGTGTCCAAGTGTGAGTCTGGTGAAAGTGCCAGTAAACAATAAAATTAGCTCAGCGTGAGCTTTGGATATCTGTGAAACTGGAAAGGCAAGTCCATGTTCTTTCCTTAAAAAAGACATTTACTAATTATACTTGGACATAAAATCTAACACAGATCATGTATAAATGTCTCTGGTGTCCCAAAAGTATTTGGACCCTTAAGCTACAGTATACTGAATTCACTGCATGCATGGTCCTATTTTGTCATATTTTATGGTCCCGAGTGATTTTTTTTGTTCGTTTGGCTGGAAGCTAGGATTTTATTTTGAATATTTCTCTTACTCAAACTCAACATTTTGCTTCAGAAAGGCTTTATTAACCCCCATCAGAGCCACGTGAAGGTCATTTATGATGGATGGATGCACGTTTTCGAGCTTTAATTTGTTTGTTCCACTGCCATTATAAAACCGGGAAGTATTTAAAATAATAATAATATAACTACGATTGTATTCATCTGAAAGAAGAAAATCATTTACACTGGCATGAGGGTGAGTAAATCATGGGCTTTTAACAACTAATGCTTTTTAAGAAATAATTCACCCCAAAAGAAATGTCATTCCAAATTATTAATTTATTTCTTCTGTGGAACGCAAAAAAAATTGTTTTGAAAAATGTCTTTCTTTTGTGCTCAACAGTATAAAGAATATCATATAGATTTACAACAAAGTAAATTCAATTAGAATTGTTTTAATTATCACTTTATCACTTAATTATCACTTAATTCAGGTGTGTCTGATCATTGTTGCCGTGACTACTGAGGTCAGTCACACCTGAATTAATCAATTTGACCAATAATGGCATACAGGAAACAAGGAGCTGGCTTAAGTTCAGGAAGTAGTGAAGCTGTGCATAAAGTCAATTTGTAACCGAGATGATTTCCCTTAATGACAAAAAAAAAAAAAAGCAGGATTTCCAAAATATATTCATCCCACAATATATTTAATGACGCCTAGTAAAAGGAGCATTTTAGAATAATGGGACACTAATAAGACACTTTATTCAACAGGAATCATTCAGCTCGTCATACGTCCTCCTTTCAGTTTCGGTTTGCAATCAGATCAAGATGTTCTCTCGATCGATTGAAATAATCTGTAATACAACTGACTGAAAAACTGAGTTTTTAAATGAGTTATGTTATGGCCCTGTTTTTATTATTTATCTGTAGTGACGGCATGATCATATCGTATTATTTACTGCCATGTGAACCACACATGTTATGAAAACAGGCAAAACAAGAAACTTCTTAAAAATTAGAAAGGTGAAATTCCTAATAGTACTGCTAATAATTCCAAATTACATTAATTATTTATTTTACTTGTAATGTCACATAGACATTGCGTGAGTGCATTTATTTAGCATCAACAATCGGAAGTATAGTCGAGATCCATGTTTGGATTTATTACAATTCATCACAGAGAAGATTTGATCGCAGATTTAGTCGCACAGACTGACTGAACGTTGACACTTTCATTTGAGCAACATTTCTCAATGAAGATCGTTGAAGTCCAGCTTACTTGTTGTTTGTCTGTTTTTTCACATCACAGCACTTCCGTGGTATAGAAAGAGCATGTGCGCATGGCTGCAAGATTGCAAAGATTAAGTAGATCACCTGGAAGAAAATGTTTTCTTTAAGAGAAAAGCTCTGAATGGGGGATTTAAGCCTGTGAAATCTGGCAACCACAGGCGTGAAAGCTTGCGATAAAGGCGTATATACAGCTGTCTATAATATTTTGCCTCAAATACATGTATTTTTCCGACCATAATTTTATTCAGCCCACAAGCTCCTTTTTGTCAACCCCTTGTCTTTAATTTTGCCTCTCTTACCGTTTTAGAGCAGCATAATATAAATGCAGTAGAGCTGTGCAGTCCTTGCCACCGTTGAAGCCAACACAAAGCTCATCAGCAGAGTATCTATCCAGCGCCGTCTCAATGATCCCCAATGCTGCAGCTACTTTCTTCCCCAGCAGTGTCTCTGTCAGATATTTAATGATAGAAGATTCTCTTACAGCTAATTTCACATGTTTTAACAAGGTTATTCACAACTGATTTAGGAGACGTTGACTGGTCAAGATCAAACACATGTAACGGACCAACAACAGCTCCTAGACATGGCTACAAAGAAACTTACCACTTTTTGAGAGCGAGTACACCTCTTCAGTTGCGACTGACACCGAGTCAGTGATGAGAGGAACCACAGATCCTTTGGGTAGCTCTTCTATCAGTTGTTTTTGTGCCCGTTCCACCACCTCGGCACTGTCTGAGTCCAGAACCAGTCGGACACGATGATAATTACTGAGCCAGTCTGGGTAAGAGCCCAGAGAGACACTCTTCCCCCAACCTGCCTGCAGTTTTGTGAGACTCTGGGCGATCTCAGTCTCATCCGCATTCACAAACACCTCACGGGTGTGAAAGGTGATACCAGAACCTGAAAACAGATGGCTAAGTCCATTGAACGACCGTTCCAGCAAAGAGGGGATGCCGGGAAATATGTATACGTTGTGGACACTGACAAGAGGGAAGCGATTTCGCTGGCCTGTCTGAGGGTCTATGCCAAAATTGAGTTTGGCAGAAACGGGGACCATGGCGAGTTTCATGGGGGAGCTGTCAGGAGTGACCGTGCCAAAGAAACTCTCCACTAGCTTTGTCAGCTCAGGATGGGCATGCAGACTTTCGTTAAATGCCATAGCGACACTTTCAAAAGTGACATCGTCATGAGTGGGACCGATGCCACCAGATGTGATGAGGTGAGTAACGGAGGACGAAAGCTGGGCCACTTCTTTAGCGATGACTTCCTGGACGTCAGGTACCACAGTGATGCGCTCTATGGTGACACCAAGCTTGCGAAGTCCACGGCACAGGAAGGCACTGTTAGTGTCGACAGTGTGACCCTGCAATATCAGCATATAGAGCAAACGTTTTTAACATAATGCTTTTGGTAACACTTTACTTGAAGGGGTGTGCATAAGACTAACTTTACACCTTCATAATCATGACATAACGCAAGGATGTTTTTATGCATGTTTATGACAACTGTCATTAAGTGTCATTCGCTCAATTATGACATTTTTAATGCAAATATGACATTGTTTTAGATGTGTTTGTTATGACACCTTGACATAAACCAATACATCATAACCTGTCAGTGTCTCTGTCATGACAACTCGACATTACTAAGACAACTCAACCTGTCATAAACATGACATTCGCAGATTAATTATCAAACCACCTAGGTTTATTGGTTAACATTACATTAAACTGTCAGGTGGTTGGTTTTGACATTGGCTGTCAAGAAGCCAGAATAACTTTTTAATGACAAACTCAATGTGTACCATAGTAGTTGAGGTCACGAAAACTATTCATGACACAGTTATAATGGTCTCATGACAGCCAATGTCAAAACCAACCATATGATAGATTATGATGTTATGGTTTATGTCAAGATGTCAAAGATATCTTAAACAATGTCATATTTGCATTCAAAATGTCATAATTCAGAGAATGACACTTAATGTTTTAAGTAATTCTAAAAGTTTCATTTCTGCTTAAAACGTGGAAACCTTCCTGTATCTGTCAATAGTCAGAAAACAGGCAAGCAAAATCCATATATAAAAGTCATACAAATAACAGTACATAGAAGACAAAGGGTTAATCGTGACTATTATAAAAACAAATGGTAATTTACCTTGAGGATCTCATCTCCAATGATGAGAATAGCTGCTGTAACACGGCCATCTTTCTGCGTGGAGGATGCACTGCAGTTCTGAGCCATTGGGATGATTTGGGCTCTGATTCGCTGAACCCGCTTAACTGCACTCCTAATCTTAGGCAATGCCTGCAGCATTTAGTTGAAAACGATGACAGGAGAAATGCAGTAAAAGAAAAAGGAAGAGACAGAAGGAGATGGTCTGTTGGGAACAAGCACAAAAGTCTGAGCAATAAAACTACTCTTCTAACTCTTCTAAATCCACAAATAATGTTTGACTTCAGGAAAACATGAAACTGAGATACCTTTAATAAAAATAATTAAATTGATTTTCTGAAATAAACGTATGGCTGCACGATTAATCAAAATAAACCAAAGTATGATTAATAATAAATAAATGCCATTTAAATGAATATGCTCTGTTTCAGAGTGAAGCACAGCACTGTGTTTATTTACATGCAAGCAGCTCAAGTCGCAGTTATTAACGCTTCACATGATGAATGAGTTTGGTTCGCTTTTATACCGTAAATTTGGAAACCTAAAATGCACTAAAGATCTTCACAAAGTTGTAATAAACGCTTACAACCTGGCTGTTGTCAACAAAAGAGAAGCTCTGAAGACTCCCTGTGGTTTTCTATCAAAATAAAATATTGATGGCTTAAAGTTACAAGAAAACTAAAAAGTCATGAATATTAGGATTGTACTTTAACAGTTGTACTATATAGAAATTTAATATTGCAATACCGGTATGTTTCTTAAATGCTCAATTTGCCTATTTTATATTGAAATATTACAATAGTACCATTATTGTTTTGCTAAATATTGTAATCACTAATAATTATTATTGCTATTATTGTTGTTGTCATTTTGATATATAAATTAAACATTTATTGGCCACAGAAAACCTGGGTCTTTAAACAACTGCATTTTTTATTTGCAAATTGCAATTTCATGATAATAAAATTGTGCAAATTGAGTAGTTCTAACTTGGATGTCAAGAACAAAATCATTACACAATTTGCATTTTACACTTCAAAACTGTTATAATTCTGCTACACTAGTGCACTTCTATTATATTTCTAATTCAACGTAAGTCTAAACCAGAAACAGCTGTCACTGCCAATGTAACATGTCTTGCTTTAACATGCCATGCTTTTAGTTGAACTAACGTTAAATCTCTTGCTCCATTTCTGCCAACTCTGTATTAATAAGCATGCCATGACTATAAAATTATTAACGATTAAGAGTCCCACGGTTACTGATGTGATACAGCAGAGCTGGATATAGGAATGTCTACTTTTTCCTATTAAGAAACAAACTTCATTAGCTAAATTGTTTATTCCCTTACCTGTAATGCATGTAACGAGATTCTGGCGTTAGTCCGGATGCGTGATCAGCTAAATGCTATTCAAGAAACCACTTATATCATTCAAGACTGCGTAAAATCAATGAAAACATTGAAGTTGTTCAAAATGAAGTTGCAGTCTCCTCTGTCACGGTCATGTGAGTAAAGTCCCAAGTGCTCCGCAGGTTCGTTCCGTGAAGGATATTAGCAAGTCAGCTGCAAACATTGATATATAATATAAAATATAATACTGAATCGTGATTCTGCTTTTAAAAAGTTGCTTGATTTGTAAATACAATCGAACAAGAACTCACCCTAACCAGCGAGTTACATATCAGCAAGCAAACAAAACTTGGTTGCACTCCTTATGTCACGTGATGCGTGTTAGCCAGTTGAAACGCGGCGTTGCATTACTTCCTTAATAAACAGACCATTCAGCGCAAATGAGGGCGGGAACTTCCTCGAGAAGTTAAAGCAGACTATCTGTGCAGATATTCTTATAAAATACAACAGTGAAAATACAAGTTTTTGTCTGTAGTTAGTCATATGTCCAACTAAAATCAGTTTTGACACAAAAATGTACAAACAAATAGAATTGTTTACTTCTCTGTCATTTTAACAGTAATGTGTAAATTTATATCAATAACGGGCAATCTACGTATACCTAACCAAACACTAAATGCAATGCATTATTGTACTGGGAATTTATGATGTAGCGTCCATTGCACCAGTTAAATTTTTTAAACATAAACGAAAGTCGACCCCACTTGAGATGCTCCAAGTACGTTTATGCTAAATCTTTATTTACACACCTACCTTAGTTCGTTGCCGTACGAAATGCTTTGGTACAGCTGTTGATTTCAGTCGTCTTTTATTTCCTTTGGCTACACTGAAATCGACTGGTGAAAAATGTTCGCTGCACACCCTCAATCCACGGACAGACTGAATGGGTGATCCACTATCTCGACGCAGAGCGAGTAGCCACCGATTCAATCTCTTTGCATCATTTAGGGGCAATGTGTGAAAAGTCAAACTTTCCTCCTGCATCGATGCCCACTGGCGGAGTCTCAGGGATTTCTCTTGATTGAAGCATCCAGGAAAAGCACACACGCGCACCATTTTGAAAAATCTATCGCCACGGGCAACCAATAAAGTTTGCGTGCTCTTTCTTCTGTGTTGTGAAAAAACTATTCGGTTCCTTGTTCAGTTTGTAGTCCTCAAACCTAGAAAAGAAATAGCAGTTTCAAACCATGGGTTCCCTCTAGCGGTGGAGATTTTAAATCATTTTAGTAATTCGAATCTTTTGAATCGGTTCATCACAAAGATTCATTGTCTGATTTATTCATTTCAGTCTGCATGTTACATCAGGTGGCGGCACGACACGAGTGTGTTTCATTTGACGTATCTTTGAATTATTCATAGCAACTATTTAAAATGCAGTTAAGCAGCATATGCATTTCATGGCAACTAGCAAAACATCAGATGTACAAAAAAATCTCTTCGTTTCTTCTCTAATAATTATCGCCCAAACCTGGCATTGCAAAAGCTATTAAAATATTGTTGGCTCACCAATTGCTTGCTCCTCTCTTGTAGGCCACTTTGGATGCTGCTGAAGACCCCTGACCTACTTTATTCAGTTTCAGTTCTCAAAAAAGAAAAAAGAAAGTTATAGTGCTGTTGAAAATGTGGTTCTGACTGTACCACTTTCTTCAGTAGATTAAACCAATGCTCCATCATATCCCTCACTCAAATGCTGGTATGACTCTCCATTTAGCGAATGATTCATTCCCATTGGCCACTTTTAGACTAGGCCTATTTGTTTTATAGTATTTTGTTTTATGTCCCCCGTAATTTAATTACAGCTAGTTCCTTGTCATTAATGAGTTAATGAACATAAACGCCCGGGAAAGTCCATGAATGAGTTCATATCCTCGTTTAGGGACATTTTAATTCTTCTTCAACTGTAAATCGCCGTCTTTTGAATGTAGAAAACAGGTCAAGGCCGGGCGCGCGCTGAGAGAACCAGGTGCGGGCGCTCTCGTGGACGACAAACCACATGATACAAGCAGCCATCAGATCGCGGAAGTGCGACTTTTTTTGGACCGTGGAAAAAGGGGGGGTTAGACTGGGTGAGGAAAGGAAGGCAGAGCCGAAAAGAAAAGTTTCATGACATTATTCGTGCAAATGAGCCTGACGAGACCCGTTCCTTACCCGATATCTGGACTGACTTTGTTCCTCAAATGTGATATTTTCAGGAGTTGATCTGAAAAGTGCTTCGGAGCGCAGGACCGGAATCGAGCGGCCGAGAGGAAGCGAGAGGGTAAGTTCAGGCAAAAGTTTACCACAATCATGACTGTTTTATGCGGGACAGGAATCCATACTGCTCCGTTCTGGAACGAGCTCGAATGCATGTGTCTCGTGAAATCAAGCAGTTTCAGTTTATTACAGCGTCTTAGGTTTTGAGTCAGACGTGACACTTTACTTTTGTTTGAACTCTATTTATCGCCCGTTCTATATCCTTTATTGAGGATCATTTTGTCTCATTATTACCCAGCGTGCTTACTGTAAGACCACATGAGAACTTTTTGACTTGAAACCAAATGCGATCAAGTACTTAATTTAGGCTTTTATGCATATTATGTATTAGAAATTACGTTACATCGATATGTTCTATTGTGGCTAATAAGTTAGATTACTCTGGTATCCAGTATACAATATTAAAATTAATAGAATATATATATATATATATATATATATATATATATATATATATATATATAACAATGACAAAGTTTTGGGACTGTGTCAAATGCTAGACACTTATTTTACTTAAGCTAAACCACGTATTGGCTCCATCATTAGACTGTTTATATATAGTATTGATCAGACCGATAATCTCTCTACCTCTGTTATGTTGTATTGTTACAGTGACAGACACTAATATATAACTCTTGTTGTGAAAAGCAGTTGTCCTTAACATTATGGCCGTTTATCATGGACTGATCTGACCAGCTGCGAATCCTACACCAACATGAGCTCTTATCGGCTGCATGAGCAGCTGTCGCAGACATTTGGAGCAACTGAATAATGATTCAGTCCAACACAAAGGAGTTTTCCTATCAGATTCAGATGTCTGACTGCGACATCAGAAAGAACACTGTACACGAGATCTAGATTGTGCAGTCATTTATGGAACAATGCCTATGATGTCAGTCTAAGGAAACTGAGTCAGTGTTTTTTTTTTGTTTTTTCACTGATGGAATAGTATTCGAGATGAGTCTTTTTTTTTTTTTTTTTTTGGAGGCCTCTATTTCATCTTACATCATTATCAACAGGCCAGCTGGCCTCATTCAGTTATAATTTGCTTCATGGCCATATGCATAACTTAGGAGGAGCTCTTTGAGCGTTTATATTACTTTTTGCAGACTGTTTTGAGCTTCCGTGAGAAAAGCTGTGGGACAGTTAAAGTTCTGATTATTTAACTTGTAATTTTAGAACTTTGTAATCAGAAGGTTAATTTCTTCAAAATTAGAATCAGTTGATTTTGTTTTCCCCTTTTTAGAGCATGATATTTGTAGCAGGATGAATAACGGTGGTGTCATGACAGACCCATACAGGATTCATGATGAGCTGACAGGCTTTCTTTGTAACTTTCTCTTTTTTCTCTTGTCTTCTAAGTAGATATGTTATCAGATTGCCTACGAATGACACGAGCTTGTGAAGGAAGCAGTAGATGGCTAACAGTTTCACCTGATCAGAAGCAGGATGAACAGGCTGATAGTGAATATTATTATTACTGCTAAATTGACTTTTTGAGATGGCCTTATATCAACACACACCTGCTCAATCTCAGATGAAAAAACCCTGTGCTCATTAAAGAGTCATTTTTGTTTCTGAGTAGTATTGATGTGCCTCTGAGCCAATCTATGAAAACACAGTAAACTTTTATGTTGTCCCTTTTTTGAGGGCTCCTCCAGACTACTACTTTGTAAATTTGTGAACTTTCAATAAATTTGTGCACATTAAAAACTTGCTTCTGAAATAAATAATACACACTGAATGATGTTTTGCCAGTGAATTGCATTGATTAAGTGAGAGCAGGGCAGCAGACATTTTATGTAAGAATGTGAACAATTCATTCTGTTTGTATTTCATAACTAAGGCCCAATGTGTGTTTGGTTTTTGTGATGTTATTGATGTTTTCCACTGCCTGACTTCCTCTATTTTATATCAAGTTTAGAAATACGCCACTTTGAGCCACTGTCCCAAACTTCCCATCTATTCTCTGAGGAGCACGCGACAGGATATCATGTTCCTGTGCTATCACAATGTCCCACTGAGTAGTTTATGTTTTCGATGGCCCAGATGACGCAAGTGTTTGCTAGACAACAGAGAATTATAGTTTGTCTGGTCAAGTTGTTCCCAGATCTAGTCCTTTAGCCTGGGCATGGTAAAGGACTGTCAAATGGGGTTTTCCATGGGTTTCAGATTCATCTGTGGCATATCTGAAGGAGTATTCACCACTTTCAACTGCTGAAGGCAATGGCTTTATCCCAGCCTGCCCTCTGTCTCCTATCATAAGGCTTCAGTGTTGTGATCCTGAAGGTTTCTTTCTTTGTGAAAATAGTATACCTTTGTGCACAATGTGCAGATGGTTGGTGAGAACTTTGGTCAGACCTAGGAGAACTACAGCGGCAGTGTGTAGGTGGTCAACTCTTGAGTCAACAGGATGTTGGTTTGGTTTGCAACAATGCGAGTAGTTCAGCTGTACTTAGAGGAACATGGTCAGGTACTGACGCCACATGGACGATAGACATCGATAATTCCTTACATGTGGTGTGTATAGTTGAAATGTCACGCAGCATGCATTGTCTTTTGCTTTTTTATCTTTCTCTTTCTCACCACTAGATTGGTTGTCGTAAAAGTGGGGAGGGGGCATTTCCTGTTCAATTCTTACCATGCCCTCCTCTATTGCCTTCAACACACACACACTAGCTGTTTCCAACGTTGTAAGCTTAATTTATGGCAAAATTCTAAAATTATTTGTTTAAAAATTCTGTAATTTTAAATAATGCACATCAATTTAGGCTATAATGTCCAGTATATTGAATTGATTTGATATTCATTTTGAAATAGTGTCTTTTTAAAGATTAACTTTAATTGGCCATGGTAATCAAAATATAAAAATGGAAATTAGTACAATCCAATATCAGTATTGCCATTTAGCTTATCTTTTTTTTGGTTGTTAAATAATTTGGCACTGATAAATGGATCATGCCATTTCTCATACTTTTCTGATGCACAATCACATATAGGAATTTATTTCAGTAAATGTGTTGTTGTTTATGGACAGAAGTCGTTCACCTCAAGTAAGCATACAAGTTATTTATTTTTTATTTTTTTGGATAAATTTCTTGTTTTCATTCTAGCAATTTTGATTCGATATTTAGTTTTTTATGAAAATATTACATTATGACCCAATAATGTGTGACCTAACTCATCTACTGTCACAATACAGATACAACCACATTCTTTGTTTATTTCCGAGTTATCTGTCTCTTTATGATCCACAAGTAGGTAGTAAAATAGACCAAAGGTTCTTTCCAGTCTGTCTGTCTCTCTTCATGTCCGGCACATTAGTCAGCCTGTCTCTTCACAGACCAGCTTGTCTCCTCAATTCACACTCTGTCGCTCTTATTTGACATGTTATGTTTTGTTGTGGGGGTAGTGACAATATTGTCAGGTTTTTGCTAAAATTCACAAACTGTGAAATTTCACTCCTGAAAGTGAAGAAGATCAACTGAATCTC